TTAGTTTTTCTTTATACAAGAGACGATAGAGGATATTCGTAGGCTACTGGTATTCCATCACAGGCATATTTGAGGCATTGCTCGTGTATTTTGAAACCACTGAGTAAGTAGTGGCCGGGTTAGAAATAGGGTCTCAGATAGGGATGGGAAGTCAATTGACGAGGTCATAAATCTTCATCAATAGAATCGATTGGGACGTGTAAAAGGTTTACCACACACGACGCACTTCGATGGGGCGATTTTGTATTCTGTAGGAGTAGCCTGAAAGAAACGTAAAGGCGGTCGGAGCAGAACATAGCTTCATCTCATGCAGCCATTGACAATCGGGCTGAGCTATGTTGGGTGCTGTGGACTACCTGTTTAGGGTTTTCGTGATTATCTTTACCAGTGGTTAAGTAGAATCGTTTACAATTCAGCATCTAGTTTTTATCTTGCTACACATTCCAAACTTCTGAATTCCTTACGATTCTTTTATTTTATATTTTTGTATTTTCTCGAATCGTTTGTTTGATGACTAATTTTTCTATTACACATATTACTGTTACTATCATAATTTCTCTGAAGTTTCCTTCAAAAATTTCATCTTTGTTGTAACAGGATATAGCAATTTGAACCGTTAAAAATACGTACCAGATTCAACGTTGCGTTTGACTAACTTTTCTTTATCTTAAATTCAATAAGTTTCGGTTCATAGAAATCCCAAATAACTCATTCTCTGCCGCCTAGATTAGTTGAAAGATTCTAATGCTTATGTTAGATACCTTGCCATAATTTTTAATGATTATGTATTCAAAACTTTGTCGAAATTCTCATGGTATTATAGAGCCTGACACTAAAGTGCATATGTCAGATTTCCTACACCGTGAATCAGCGAAGTATAAATAAATTTAACAAGATGAAAACAGAAGAGCAGAAATATTCACCATACTTACAATAGCCAGAAACTAAACAAAATATATATTTCAATATTTGAGATCATGAGTCAATTGAAGCTAGACCATTATTGGAAACCTGGAAGTACTGGACGGCCCTTTCGTCCTATTGTGGGACTCCTCAGCAGTGCGCATCTACGATCCTGCCTAACGCGATTCGAACCCAGGACCTTAATATCTAGACCACTGAGCCGGCATCCAATGGTGTTAGTGTCTAACTTCAACCAATCCACGAAATTGAGCGACACATCCATTATTGTCTTCAGCGAGTTACTATCTCACAACAGATCCAGTTGAACTCCACTGGTCACTGGTTCTCACTAGAACTCCAGGAAATACCTCTTGAAGCCAGTCACTAGTGAGCATTTGTTGATTAATATGAGAAGGGGTTTTGTGGATTTTGTAGCAATTTCAATAGTTGAGATCGTGAGTCTACTGAAGCTGCTGGGTAGTCCCACAATAGGACAAAACGGCCGTCCAACGCTTCCAGGTTTTCCATGGTAGTCTAGCTTCAATTGACTCATGATTTCAACTATTGATAATACTTTCTCATTAAGAAAAAAATTCTGTTGTATCAATATGTTATTTGTTGCTGTTTACTTCATAGATTGTCATATTACTATTATTAATAATAATTCCTTTTAATGCTAATGAACAAAACAAGTGTTGTCATTGTTGTTGTTGTTGTTCGTGTACACGTGTACATTTTCTAATAATTAAAAATGATAATATACTTCTTTTATCGACCCATCGATACTTATACTAATATTATTATGATTGGTTAAATTAATTAATAAAATCATGTTTCATATTGACTGTAGCTTTCACAATAATGTAAGAAGAAAAAAAACACATCACAAATTGTTTTCTCTTTCTCTTTTTTTTTCTCAAGTCACATGGTTTATTACCTTACAGTGAAAGTGTGTAATTATTCAGAAGAATATATATATATATATATATATATATATATTTCAATAATGTAATAATGATTTATGGATTGTTTAGTTTTCATATTATATTATCAAATTATAAATGATAACATTGTTACTAATATCAGCTGTCTATCATCATTTTATGTATTAAGTAGTATACTGAATGCCAAAAAATTTTTTTGAAAGAAAAACAGTTTTAAAGGTTATAATAAATAAGTTTGAGTAATTGAGAATAAAGACATTTTTAATATCCATACTTATATAATATATTTTATGATAAAGATATAGTGTGGTGCGTGCTACTTATATTGATATAAGTAGTATATTATGCGAGTCAGGACTGTAATGTCTGGCAGCAGTTGGGGAAGATCAAGAAAGAAAGAGCGGGAATAGAAAGCAATTAGTATGGAAATGCAAGAACAATGAAGTTCGAGACACTTATTGAACATTTTGCAAATTAAGTATTATAGTATGGTCTTTCTATTTTACCAAGTAACTCTGTAATTTTGTGTTGAATGTGATTCGGTTGTCCTCATCTGCGTTCTCCTTCACTACATATTTAAAACTGTTAATAATTTTTTAAGAGTTTAAGTGTACGTTCATATAGTTTGAATAAAACAAACAAACAGGAGAAATACAGATATTTCTAAATTACACCATGAACTGATATTAAATTATGAATCTCTGAATACTGACAAAATGTATCAATGAAATAGATTTTTCTTTCTTCTCGAGCAGTTGTAAATATTTACAGGATCTTATATACAGTTTTCAGATCCTGGGAACAGTAATTGATTATTCAGCTATTTAATCGATTTGTAACATTATAATAACTTTATCTCTAATAAATATAAATAATTAATCAATTCTAAAATTGCTACCTTATTGTTAGACGTGAAGCTTTTATGTTTTATGTTGTCTATGACGATCGATGAGTGTTATCATGTCGTTCAGAACAACGATGAAACAATGGTTGAGAGCTCCTCGATTTTCAATGATAATCTTTCCAAGAATTGTCTTCATTATTCACAGAATTATATATGTATATTTATATTTTAATGTGTGAACATTTATATGCCATATGTGGGCCTATCATACAAAACACCACTAACAATGAAATTTTCTTGAACATTTTCTCTGAACAAACTGTAAAGTTATTTATTCTATTTTGATGATTTCAGTTGTTAATGCATTTAGCGGTAAATAATTATACATAAAATTATAGACTCGTCGATTAGTTTTCGAAAATATAGAAAAGTTCCTCTTTCTTCTGGTGGTCGACTGGATTATGAAGACCTCGACATCTGAAGGAAAACACGGAATACAATGGACAGCTCAGGAGCAATTAGACGATTTGGACTTCGCAGATGACCTAGCCCTCCTATCGCGTACACACGAACAGATGCAGATGAAGACAGCCAGTGTAGCAGCAGTCTCTGCATCAGTAGGTCTCAGTATACACAAAAGGAAAACCAAGGTCCTCAAATTCAAAGCGGAGAACAGTAATCCAATCACTCTTGATGGCGAAACTCAGGAACATGTGAATCTTTCACATACCTCGGAAGCATCATCGATGAACAAGGAGGTCAGATGCAGACGTAAAAGTGAGGATTGGAAAAGCAAGGGTCGCATTGCTACAGTTCAAGAACACATGGAACTCAAAACAACTTTCAACCAATACCAAAATCAGAATCTTTTATGCGAACGTCAAGGCAGTTCTACTGTACGGAGCTGAAACTTGGAGAACTACAACAACCATCATCAAGAAGGTACAAGTATTTATAAATAGCTGTCTATGCAAGATACTCAACATCCATTGGCCGGATACCGTCAGCAGCAGCCTTCTGTGGGAGAGGACACACCAGCTTACAGGTGAAGAGGAAATTAGGAAAAGACGATGGAAATGGATAGGACATACATTAGGCGAATCGTCGAACTGCATCACGAGGCAAGCCGTAACTTGGAATCATGAAGAGAAGCGGAAAAGAGGAAGGCCTAAGAACACATTGCGTCGGATTATAGAAGCAGATATGAAAAGGATGAATTACAACTGGAAGGAGCTAGAAAGGATTGCCCAGGACAGGGTTGGATGGAGAATGCTGGTGAGCGGCCTATGCTCCTTCACGAAGAGTAACAGGCGTAAGTAAGTAAGTATAGGAAAAGTTCAGCGAACTACTCATTAGTCAATTGATTACTGACGGTTTCTTTTTTAAATTTTTTGCTAAATTTCAGTGTTTCTATGCTGAAAATGATTAGTCTGACATTCATATCATAGGTTAACCGATTTAGATCATGTTAACGGATTTAGAATGATCCGAAACTGATTGGTTGAATAAAGAGTTTAATCAGATTCTTTAAATTAAGTAAACCCTTTTGATGATGTGTATGTTTATTGTTTTAATTAATGGCGTTAAAATTTCCGTTAGTTGTTTAAATGAACTTAATGTTAGACAGAATTGTATATTAGATTCAATACGGTCAAACTGATATAAGGTTTTTAATTGTGACTAATGTAGACTTAGGTCTACTGTTATACATCGAAATTTGAAGCTGTTATTTGTCTACAAATCTATTGATTATTAATCTGAGTTTATTAGACTACATCTTTATCAGCATGAAATTCGAAATCAAAGTAGTTTTTGGTTTTTTACCGATTGATCATTATGAATAACTAAGACAATGACAGATGTTTACCAATCTATAGTAATTCATTTCAGTATGTAATAGAAGACAATACTCTGAAAATTTATAGTATTCATATTAACGTAAGGCATAAAAAGTGCAGTGTTGAATACTCGGAATTTTTGTTTAGCCTTTATTCTTGAAAAATCAAAATTGCCCTAGATTTTATTGTCGTGATTATAGTATTAAAATAAGCTACTCAAATTTACATATAACATTCATACAATCACTGATTTATTTATTGTTCATTTATGTCTTTTATATATGCATATCAAATGAGTAACCAGTTTGTTTTCCAAATCAGTTATATATAGTTGGTCTTGTATTATGTCTGATAATAATGCACTGAATTCTTTTTGTTGGATTAAGGCACAAATATTGATATAAAATATTCGCTTGATAATTAAAAATCAACAGATCAACTAACAAATCTATTTTGTTTAATCACTTATAGGTGTTGTATTAGATTCCAACTCTGGGAAACATGATGGCAGTATAAACGGAATACGATATTTTCAGTGTCCAGCAAGACGTGGGTTATTTTGTCCGATCGGTGACTTGTTCCCAGTGGACCAAAGTAAGTAACTATATATATATATATATAATGACGGATATATTTAGGATTAGTTTTTATCTATCCATACAGCCAGGGGTAATTATTTTATTTTTAATTCATGTATAATCATAAAAGGATTTAGAGATATACTCGGAAAGATAGGTATTCTAAGCTATTATTTCATTCCATTACTGTTTTCAGTTTATTATATGCATATTAACAAAAAGTTGTCACCTTATTACAGAGGACACGGTTGCTTAATAAACACGGTAACATAAGCTAAAAATCCGGAATCATTACCCATTCAAATGTCACAGTGCATTAACTCATAAATGACTTATTAGTCAAGCCAAAAATTTATAGTATTTACTATTAAACGGTCAAATTAGAGGAAAAGGTTTTCAAGCTGCGTATTAACGCGATATTGCAATGCAATTACATAGTGTTCTCAGTTTTCCAGCCCAAATCATCAAAAGTTTCAACATCTTACTTAGAGAAAGTGGAGACTAAGAATGATGCTTGAATGATGCTTGCCGAAAACATTTACATTATTGCAGTTCATTTTGTTATTTATTAAGGCACATTTTAAGTAAATATGCATTTAACAGAAATTATTAAATTTGAAAGGTTTTCAGTTAATAGTCTTCTGAGATGGATGGTGGCTATTAGTAGGATCTAGGACATGTGTTTCATCCTGTTTGGGATTCGTCGACTGGATATACTTGCATTCCTGAGTTGATGTTCACTTTGAGACTCAGACCCCAATCGAACGAAACGCTCGTCCTGGACTCCACTGCAAGTCACTATCGTCTCTGCTTGAAATGCTTTTGACTTAAGGCAATATTGAGACAATTCGCACTGGATGCACATGTGCCAATAAAAGGCTGATCAAACATAGTCCTAAACATCAATCGGGAGATTCAAAAAACCAATACAAAAATGAATTGATAGTTTTCTTGTTTCAAAAACTCTATAATCCAACTAATCAAATTCATATTTTAAAAGTACTTTAAAATATGATCAACTGTGAGTCAGGAAGTATCACATACATTTTCAAGGATAATTTAGACTAGTTTTGTGTCCAAACTACATGATTTTCAACCACTGGATCACATATTTAAGCTATCTACCTTCTGATTTGGTTCACTTTACGTTATATATCATCCAGTCCATGAACTTGAATTTGCTAGATGAATTATACTCCAATCATTTAGTGAATTCATTCAATTCATTGTATACGGCATAGTTAAAACTATACATCAACCATCGACGATAATAATCATTGGTTAGCTAGAATCGAATTATTTCAGAAATAACGAATGAAAGCCGAATTCAATTCTGTAAAAATAGTATAAGTTACTATTTTTAATTGTTGTCTAGTTTTTTACTGTAAGATTTTAAATATGGTCTGTTGAATTTACTTCTATGGTTTTCCAATACACTCACTTTTGTTTGTTTATTTTGTTTTATCCAGAAAACATTTTTTCGAGAAATAGAATTAGACCTAATACTAATTGTGGAGTCAACCAGTAAGTGACTAATTATTACTTAAAATGATTGATTGATTGGTCATTTATAGGTGTTTCATTTTATAACATGTTAATTTTACCTCATTTCAGGATTGGTGATGAATTATTATTGATCTATATCAGAAAATTTTCTTAAGATTATTCTTGTGAATTTCTTTTGACTAAACATAGATCTTGATCATTGAAAGTTTTCATTTGAAATCAATATCAACTGATCATACCAAGGAATGATTGTTGTTCGTCAACATTTTCAGTGACAGATATTTATTTGATCACAGTGATATAGGCCAGATCGGCTTCGCTACCATCTTTCTACTTGTTCTTCTAGTCTTTAATAATTTTTAATGTACCTTAAATACCAGTGATCATTTATAAAGGTTTTCATGTACACGTTGTTGACGTTAAGGTCTCCTATCGATCGGTTTCCATTGGCACATGCACATATCGAGCAAATTGCTTCGATACTGCCATTATCTAATAGGCTTTGGTAAAGTTGGATTGTAGCCAGCATCAGAATTTAGAATGCGCATTCCGTCCTATTAGGAATTCGTTGACTGAACCTAATTCATAACGTTTAATGTTCATAATGAAACTTAGAGCCAGCGCTTTCGCTTCACACTTTAACACAGTACCTACTGAACAAATGAGTTTAGGTAACTGCTGACTTGTTTAACAAGTATGAATTTTATTTCTAAATGTTTTGCATATCAAGACAACACACTCAAGATGCGCGTGTGGCAGTAGATACTAATTGTTTACAGACCTTAATACAATAACGGAAAACTAAAAACCATCAAGAATAAAATTCCTACCTTTTACACAAACTAGTAGCTATCTAGAATAAATACTTCAGTGTGTGAAGTAATTACATTTGAAGCTGAAAATACTGTATCACATTTCAGTACGAATATCAACACTGAGATACGAGCATGTCTATCTGACAACTCCCAAATAAGAATAAATATACCTCATGAACTCAACTGTTAATCACTTTCCAACTTTCTTGATATCACTAACCAATTTATATATTTTGCGTCGATATATTCAGTAACTATGATGTAACAGTATCCATTTCGGCTTCATTTTCAATCATTCTCCATCTAACGTCGGTTGAGAAATAAAACTAACTTTAAATGGAACAATACCTATCAAACGTCAAAACTCAGTTGTTTGTGACATTTATTTTGCATAATATGTTTCTTAACCAACGAGAACTATTTTCTGTTGAGTTCTGTTTATTTCTGAACCCACCACAGTTAACTTATATTAAAGCAACTATTCGGCTTCTTCATTCGAATGTATTTTTAATTTCTATTGCACGATATTTTAGCTCTTAGTTTAACAACAGATAAGATATCAGTACAAACTGTTTGACTTATTATATTTCTTTAAATGAGATCATGAACCGATTGACGTTAGACCACCATTGAAAACCTGGAAGCACTGGACCGCCGCTTCGTTCTGTTGTGGGACTCCTCAGCAGTGAGCATCCACGACCGCGCTTACGGGGTTCGGATCCAGGGCCTTCAGTCTTGCGTGTGAACGCTTAACCTGTAGACCACTAAACCGGCATCCCACGGTGTTATTGTCTAACCTCAATCAATCCACAGAGTTGCTCAACCATCCTCCATTGTACTGAGGTAGATACCTGTCTCTACCTGACACGGATTAGCTCCATTGGTCATGGCTTCTCACTAGAAACGGCCGTCCAGTACTTTCAGGTTTTCAATGGTGGTCAAACGTCAATCAGTTCACGATCTCAATCAAAACCTGAATAATCTCTACAACCCTGTGCTGATAATCACTTATTATTTATTGTATGATCGAGAGTGAAATTCCATCGATTCTCATTGAAATAAGACTTTAAAATGTTAGGTGGGGGGTTGAAAACAGTTGGCACGAAACCCTAGACTTATGCGCCACGTTATTTTGGGCTCGTCAGCAAGGTATACCTGTAATCTCGAAGGAACTGATGCTCCCTGGCGGGTTTCATCTCCTGTCACCCGGCTTCCCACTCACGAATGTTACAACTAAGCTATCTAACATGCGACTAACCTCATTTGGAAATAAGATATATTTACAATTGATTAATCACTAGATATTAACCAATGTTATATCTGTCATGTGCTTTTTAATGCAGATCATTTCTATCAATCAAGTTGTAACGTGACTACTTGTTTAGGTGACTGAACATCGAGTGAATCATATTGTGTTTTTAAAATGTTAGTGTCAGCTTAAAAATTTAAAAAGTTAACGAAAGCCAAATCAGGATAAATATTATAATATTAATGAAACAAAATTTGTGTTAAACTTATGTTTTTTCGAGTTATTAGTCGGGTGGTCTTCTTGTGGGTACTGAATTGTTTATTTATACGTAAGTAGCATGCTATTTGGAATGCTACTTTTATGTTTGGCATTGAGAACACTAAGTGGAAATGTTAACGGAGGTATTTTCAATCTGCTATGATCAGAGATGATTGTTTGTATATATGCATGTGCGTAGTTATGTTTCTGTTATCTCATCAGTACACAATCAAACCTTTTGAGGCTTTCTTGACACATATAGAATACATGAGTAGACGTTTATCTGTCTGAAGCATGTTATATTAATAGTGACAAGGCTAAATAAATAACGGTTAATGTCTTAGATTCCAACTGAAGAATACTGACAATATTTTTGTTTTCATAATGTTCATAAATATTTCAGTTAATCTATAAAACCTCTCCTACAATTAGGTTTGTTTACGGTTAGATTTGTCGAGCACTTTTATTAACTTATTTACCAGACAATGTTATTTGAGTAGTAACAATATGTTTACTACTTTATATTATTATTATTGCTATCTTGTCTGTATGATCATGTTTGCTAGGTCAAACGTTACAGTCCACGCATATATCGCTATCTCTAGCTTAAATGTTAGTCGCTTAAATATCGCATGATGAATTATTCACTTTCCCATATATATGTGCTTGAATCTCATAAATTGGTTCGATTCTATTCGTTTTGACTCTTGATTGGCCTATGTGATCGCTTACTCGCGCGCATTAGCTATTCTTTTCAAATTCGCTTGGTATGCCTGTAACTTTGTTTTTTCTAAGCTATTCAATAACAGACTGTAGTCGGGCTTCCTGTTGACTTCCGAATTAATGCACCGTTGTTATTTAATTAATAACGGTTATCACGGTGATCAATCAATGAAACCTAAGGAATTATCTTGATATCAAGCCACTAAAAATCACTACATACTTGTTTCAGCTCCAAATATAATTGTATCATAATAACAAACCAAATAAGTATTCTACTGAAGAGGCGATTACAGTAGTATACAACATTAAGTGGACTAGTATATATTCTTATGAATTTTAGATGTTTTGTTCTACTCTGTTGAAACAACGCTTAAAACTTAGTCCGAACTATTTCGTTCAAAACTATTAAAGCTAAACGATTTTAGCATGTCTACTTTACTGATCTCTATCTGAGACTTGATAATAAAATTATCGGTTCTCAATTTTGATTATATTAACATAAAATTCTGATAAATCCGACGAAAACGATTAATTTTCCCAATAATATATATCTGGAAAGGTTGTAGCGCAGGTTAGTCCCATTTAAGTTTAACTTTAGCCGAGTTAAATAAAAGTAAATTCAGGTAGACGAAAATAGATCCACTAATAATTTTACAATGAGATGACACTATCAAGTTAAAATAACACAGTATATTTTTACTACAATTTAAAATTCATATTGTCAGCTATTCTGAATACAGTCAATCAGTAAGTTTAAGCAATTGCAAAGGCATTATCTTAATCACCTCTACCACTTATTTCAAAGTATGGTATCTTTGTAGAATAACCATTAACTTGGAAAAGAATAAATTGCAACATTTTTTTAAAAATTGTTTTATTAACATTTCAGTCAGTCAGTCAGCTACAACGTAGGACCAGGCACATGTATGCATCGGCCCAGGTTGCCATACCTCATTAGCACAGCAAGATGAACACCGGATTCATAGGAGTGGTTAGGTCAAAGGTGGTAATATATAGGAGAAAGATTGCAATAAGGATATAGTATAGGAAGAAAGAATTAGTTCGTAGAAAGAAAGATGTGAAGTGATCTTAATCTCTTAGTTTAAGAGAAGACAGAGAGTGTATACACCGACGCCATTGTGATCGATTCTGAGCCATGTCACCAAGGGTCTCCAACCATTGGTTACGAAAGTCACGCGGACCCCAACCAAGTAGTCTGCATCTACCAACATGGCTCAGACTAGAAGTTAGTGACTTCAGGCACTGATGCCACGTTTTGGTTTGGCCGCCCCTAACTTTCTTCCAACCATCCCCTACACCGGTTAGCATTGCACGTCCGGTAATCGGTGTTCAGGCATACGTAATACGTGGCCCAACCATCTCAGTCGATGAAGATTCATAACCTCATCAACTGATTTACCATCATTCCCTAATACCCTGCGTCTAACCTCACTATTACTTACCCGGTGATCCCAGCAGATGCCAGCAATATTTCTAAGGCATCTGTGGTCAAATACTAGTAGCTTACGGGTGTCTTCTACTCTTAAGGGCCATGTTTCGCTGCCGTAAATTAAAACAGAACGGACAGCCGCGCAGTATACTCGTCCTTTTATTGATAGACGGATATCTCGCCTCCGCCAAAGGTGACGTAAGTTGGCAAAAGCCAAACGAGCTTTACGAATCCGTGCTGAGATTTCGTCAGACACCAACCCATTAGGGCTGATCAGACTTCCAAGATAAGTGAAGTTGTCAACGCGTTCGACTACTTCACTCCCTATCCTTAGTTCAGGTGTTGACGCAGACCAGTCCTGAAGCAACAACTTGCATTTAGAGGGAGAGAAGCGCATCCCAAACATTCTGGCATTGTTGCTTAGTGCTACCAGAAGACTCTGCATTTTGTCAGCGTCTTCACCAAACAGGACTATGTCATCTGCATATTCTAAGTCGATAAGTGGACCTCCTGGAAGGAGATC